GACGATGATGAAGATGATGATGATGATGATGATGATGATGATGATGATGATGATGATGATGATGATGATGATGATGATGATAAAATATATATTTGGAAACATTACTTTGTTGTGCCTGGTCTTTATGGCCCACCTTGCTAGTTGCCTAGCTTCTTATTCTTACTTCTCCGCCTTTCCATCTTTGTCCCTTTTTTTTCAGTTACTTCATTCTACTAACTCTTTCTTGTTTTCATCTTATCTCTTTCCGGACGTAGTTTTTTTGGGGTCTAGACATAATTAATCTGTGGCTCGATTTGGCTATACAGGTGGTGTACAAAATAACTTCATAGAAGCATAACCATCTCTCCAAACGTAACATATGATATATCAAATTGAAGAAAATTAAATGAGGAATACATCCCAATATAAAACAAGGATTAATTTTGAACATAGATATGCTTTAGAAGGGTTAGAAATGGCGATAGTGATGAGAAAAATGAGTTTTGACGGAAAACATTACATTCACTAAACATGTGAAAGCAAATCAGCATAGCTATCTTATCATATACAGGCCAAGAGCATAATCCATAAATTTCAGAATGTGCAGCCTTTTATTTGAAAGCCATATTCCAGTTTTTGTTTGAGGTATGATAGTTATACTGAGTCCGGTTACATCGTTTTGTTGATGCAAGACCGCAAGAATTAATTCACTCATTATCCCCAAACCCACGCTTTGACAAAGTAAAACTAGATGTTTTCGTTTCCTAAACCCTTTCCGAGTTTTTTAATAGCAATAAAAAGTAATTATAAATGACGGATCGTGTTAAAACTGAGGCACCCTATCACAACCGATATATCGGCGATACGTCTTCAAAGGGTGTGGACTTGCGCCGATATATCGCCGATACCTCCGGAAAGAGTTAATGATCTAATCAACTTGCTTATCTTTTCCCCATTCCCAGTTCCTTCGTTCCAATGCTTCCGCTTCTTTTCGTTATTCATTCATTTGCTTTTATAAACAACTAATTTCAAAACGAAAAAAATTGACTGGGAACAGTAAATGGCACATTTTCATTCTACCTTTATCATAATACTCACGCGGCTGGAATGTTGAGGATTATCTAATCGACCGAATTCAAGAGTTTTTAAAAGATCAAAACCCTCACAGTATCTGAGTAAGAATACTCACCTTAATATATTATACAAGGAAGCAAGGTATACCGTTGCAGACGTGCTACCTCACGTCTGTTTTTCTTTTCAGACGATGGACTTTTCACTGTTTGGAGGACTATCAGACTTTCTACTGTTCGTCTGTCTGCTACTGGTCGTCTTCTACTGGTACTGCAATGGGTTTTTCAATGTTTGGGAGCAGCTTGGTGTGCCTGGACCAAAGCCCTGGCCCATTCTCCTGCATCTCCCAGAGTTGCGAAATGGCGTGGACCAAGCTTTAAAGAAATGGGAGTCAGAGTACGGGCGAACGTATGGACTTCAATCGATCATCAGCAGAAGGCCTACGCTGGTGACAACGGATACAAAACTCTTGAATCACATCTTTGTAAAAGATTTTGACAATTTTGTCAACAGGGCTTCGCCCGCGTTTTTCACAAAAACAACAGCTCTTCGTAGTCTCTTCTTCTACGGTGGTTCAGACTGGCGGAGAACTCGCCACGTCATGTCACCAATGTTCACTGGAGGAAAGCTGAAAATTATGATGTATCACGCAAACAACAGTGCTGCCACCCTGGTGAATTTAATCAAAAGAATCAAAGCTAAAGGAGAGCTCGTCCCATTGAAAAAGTTCATGGCCAAATACACCAGCGACGTCATCGCTAAATCTGGCTTCGGGGTGAAAGCTGAGGCTGTTTCAGATGTTGACAACGAGTTCTTTGACAACATTAACAAATTTGTAAGTTTGGGCTCTACGTCACAACAGTTTTTTCGACTCATTGGCATGTATTTTCCATTCATCTCAAAGATTGGCCTGCATTTCTTTGAGAACGCTGACATAATTAATCCAAAAGCAGATGCCTATTTCGCTGAGCTTGCCAATAACGCTATAGCGATGAAACGTGAGCAGAAGTCAGAAAAAGCAAGAGACATGTTGGATCTGCTTCTTCATTCGGAGACCCCGCACACTGCTGCTGGTCCCAACGAAAAAAGCTTGACTACTAAAGAGATTGTGGGTAATTATCTTGTTTGTTTACGTGTTTGTTGTTGTTCGTCGTTGTTGATATTTTTTACTCCTCTTTAAACTTCATATAGACAGCTATCCGTAAACCACATAGAACAAACGGGGGCTTTAAAATATTTTCGCTCGCTGTTTATTCTTCTTTCCCTAACGAGTAATATTTAGGGAATGCTACTTGTGCTCATTAATGCCACAATTGAATTTAAGAAAAGAAAACGATTTTTTTTTTCGGTAAATGTTTTTGCCCATGTGGCGCCGAAACCTACTTTTATCGATTTTGGACCACCAAGGGATCGTTAACGCACCTAACTTGCACACGGGTTGTCCGAGAAGGCTAGGTGTAATAGGGGGTGCCCACAAACGCGATAGGGTCGGGTGGGGTCCGGCCGATAGGGTAGTCGGGGCTCGCCAAATTGAGGGCACAAAGCGGCCATCGTGGCACAAGCCGATCAACTCGGTCAGTGACCTACAAAAACAAACGTGTTCGTTTTCAGGCCTGCGAATCGCGCGATCGGGTGGTTTGCAGCCAATGACAACAAGGCTGAGCCACGTGTCCATATTACCCATGAATACATTAACTAGACTTACGGTACTTTGGGAATTCCCGGTTTCGGCCTCACACGTTTTACCGTCTTCTCACTTCTCACAGCGGGTTTAGAGCGCTCATAGGCCTAGAGGAAGAAGAAAATGAATAAGGAGAAGGAGGAGGAGCATTACAGGGGGGAGGGTGGTGAGAGTGACAAGGAGTGAGAGAGGCAAGTTGAGAGATATATGCAGAGACATAACAATGTTTACATTGCTAGATCTAGGTCTCTGATACATATGGGAAGTGAGAAATAGACAAGAAACTAGAGAGACACTAAAGTAAGCAAGTAAGCAAGCAAACACTCACGCACAGACACACACACACACACACACACTCTGTGTGTGTGTGTGTGTGTGTGTGTGTGTGTGTGTGTTTGTGTGTGTGTTTGTGTGTGTGTGTATGTGTGTGTGAACAGTAAGAAAGTAAATTCAATTGTTTTTATTTCTTCAAAATGGGAGGCACAGTAATTTTCATAACTGAAATTAGTGAAATTGTTCCATTTCTGTGTAAGACATATTGTCTTCTTTTAAACCTTCCCAAAGGGGGGACATTACCATGTTCTGTTGATCTGTAGAATTATAATTGTAAATGTGCTGATGCATCAATGTCAGGCTCATAACTGTGCCGGAATTGCACCAGGGAACTGCTGCTTTTTCCTTCATCCTTACTATCGTCATTTTTTCTCAACTTTTTTGGGGGGGGTATGTTTGTCACTCTCTTGTGACCCGCTATTGCCTTGATAGTCGAAGCAAACTTTGTGCTGTTGAAGCTAGAGAGGTGAGCAGAGTAAGTCCGATTCCCTGTAAGGACGTCTCTGTTGACATCCACCACTTGGCGCTCATACCCCTTCTAAAACTAATCTAAACTGCTTTTAGAGGCGGGAAATCCAATTTTGAATGCGACCATATTTTTTCACGTTTTCAGCTAATTCGCTGCTTTTGAAACGACGTCCAGCACTCTGCGCTCACTCCTCTACCTGTTGGCTCGAAACCAGGATATCCAAGACAAGGTCATCCAGGAGATCGATACTGTACTAGATGGACGGACAGAACCTGAATACGAGGATCTGACCAATCTCAAGTATACAGAACAGGTTTAGTATTAATTGATACATACATGTAATTTTACTTCCTGTTAGAGTGATATGGAGCTTTGGTGCTCGTCATTGTACGTACATATAAATCTTCAAAATAATATGAAAAAACAACAACGTCAACCCACTATTTCTTTTGTGCATGAACGTGTACATTGAAGTTGAATTGGCCTAGCGATGGTCCTTTTGAAAAAGATAAATAAATACAGTCGAACCTGTCGAAAACGGGATCTTAGGTGGAATCGCAAGGGATCAAGAAATAAACATCTGTCTAAGACATCTTTTGTCATAGACAAGGAAATTGGCGTAAAGGTTAAAGCTGGTGGACCCAAACTTCAATAGTTTTGTTTCAAACCGGGGCTGAGAGGGCAAAGCGTTCTCCTTCTTAGACAGAGGTAAAAACCCATCGAAGGAAGGAATTTCTCTTTCCGTTTCTGCGTTAGGCAGATTTCGTTTTTTTAGAGGTAATTACATGATGTGTAGAGTAATTTATCAAGGGGGAGCGGTGAGGTGTCGTTATGACAGGTTTCTGTTAAGGAAGGTTCGACTGTACCTCGATTTTTTGTGAGCAAGTTTTGAAACTTGACAGTACACTTACGGCTCTAAAATATCACCGCAGGTCATAAAGGAAGCCATCAGATTGTTCCCGCCTGTGCCAGCTGTGACCCGTGAAGCTCTGGAGACAAAGACCTACGACGGAGTCACGATTCCCAAGGGAAGCTGCGTCTTCGTCCGGATCAACAGAATTCTTCGTGACCCCGAATATTGGTCAGAACCGGACAAGTTTAACCCAGACCGCTTTGCACCAGATGTGGAACACAAAGCTGGCGCCGTGGCTTACCTGGCCTTTGGCTTTGGACCACGTATTTGCATAGGCAAAAGACTTGCTATTTTGGAGTTGAAGGTCAGTGAAAAATACTATGGATCTCAGACTTCTTTATGATTTGGCAGGTGTCCACGGGGCACAAGCGATATTTACCCTGGCCCAGTGCATCGTCTCTACATTCTTTTCTTTTAATACTTTACTTTTAGCACTGTTCAAAACCGCGCCTTGAAAAAAATCTTTAAAGCGCAAAGAGCTTGTTGTTTTGTGCGAATATTCGTCATACAAATGTTATATTATTGTTATTATTACATGTATTATTATTATTAATATTATTATTATTATTACATTTATTTATGACAAGGCATTTGGCTCATACAAAAAACCAATTGATGCCAATGTTGCAGAACAGATTTTTGATAAAGCGGAACGGTAAAAGATTTAGATACAAAACCTGTATTTCAATTTTTTTTAATTAACCAAGGCTAGAGTTACAACTGAGACAGTTTTGTATTTTTGAATCAGTGAAGTCCAAGGTAACCAAGGTAATGCGCAATATAATGTACCACAGTTGATAGCAGTACATACAGCAGTTGTATAGGACATGGTAGCAGCAACGGCAAAACATATCACTGTGCCAGTATCTGGACAACAAGGACGTATCTTATCTCGTATTTTCTTTAACTGGACCTGGCGCGAGAAAAAAATGAGACTACGCTGTGGAACTATTAAATAAAAAAATATGAACTTCGCAAAACCAACATTGAGCTAAAAACAAGTAGTCTACATAAAAGAGCAACGACCCCACCCCCTCCCCCTTCCACCCAACCACCTCATTAAGGAAAAAAGTTCGTCGTTTGTGTGACGACGCGGAGGAATCAGGCTCTCGTCAATTTTTGGGTATGTAGAGTTATTAGTATCATCTTATAGCTTGTTCATTTGTCTTTATTTGTATGGATATGATTATCCATGAATCTTGAATAGAAGTCGAGATATTTGCAAATGAATGAGGAGGTGGTCATCTAGTTCCAGAGATAAAATTAGTGAGAAAATGGCCGCCAAAGTTTAGTTATTTTCTGAGCTTGAGAGTATGTAGAAACTTAAAATCTATATTTTTTTTTTGGGGGGGGGGCCTTGAATCATTTTCCCCCCAGTAAAATCCACACAGAAATGGGCATGAAAGGTGTTGGGCCAACCCCCCCACTAAATTCGATCAAAATTCGCAAATCTACGGGAAAATGCCTATTTCTACACTTTGATTACTGTAACGAGCGCCTGATTTCACCACGCTCCCACATATTTAGCAATAAACCTTTCTGCACGATAAACAAACATCACTGTTTAAAGTGTACGCCATTCCGTGCCACGATTTTTATAGATATACCTCGTTTTGCTTCTTTCAGGTGGCCTTGAGTCAACTCTTGTCAAACTTCAGGTTCGTCCAGACAGACCTAACCTACCCAAAACTTGGCGAAGAAGTAAAGATGGTGAACGTTATCAACTCAGTTTTTCAGCCAGAGAAACCAATTGAGCTTGATGTGGTGCTCAGAAAGGAGGAATAAGGAGCGGTGTGTTTACTGTCTGTTGAGCACCTACAATAAACATAAGTCTATTTGCCATCTTTCTTACTTTGAGAATATTAAATTTGAATTAACAATCATCTTGAGAAATGAAATTTGGGGTGAACGCAAGGTATTTTGTCAAGGCCAGCGCTTCTGTGAGCTCAAGAACTAGAGTCCATATAGATCTATATTTTGTTAAAGACGTTTGACTTTGGCTTAGCCTGGCACAATATAGTCACTCCAGAGCGAAACACTTACACTTGCTGGTCCCTGTTCACAACGACGAACTAAAGGAAAGAATGCTCCAGGAAGAGTGGGAAAAGGGGGGGGGGGGAAGCTACAGATCAATCAGTTTAGAAAATCAATGAGCTTTTTGACAATACCACAGTATTTTCTGTATTATATAGTTACCGGTATGTCAATAAATAAACGTAAAGTTGCGTAAATATGATTTACTCAGAATAGTTAAAGACTATGTATTTGAGTGTAGCAGCTTACCTTAATTTTCTTTAATTTACATTTTTCACACTTCTTTTTACTTCAACGATTTGACGTCTCTCGTAAAACAACACGTCCAGTAAGAACATGTAAAAATCTTGATGGAGGCTTTCACTTCCCGTGAAATTTATAAAGTTCCGTACATAGCATCTAATGACTGCTCGTTAGTACGTGCTCTCTTTTTGAAGTCTTTTGTTTTTTAAAGGAAAGTGAGCGATATAGGCTATCCAACTTAATGTTGTCGGCCATTCCCGTGTAACATGAATATAATATAATATATATAGTCGAACTTGTCTTAAGGGAAGCCTGTGTAAGACGGAAGCCTGTCATAACGGAATCTCCCACACTTTCCCTTGATAAATTTCTCTATAAATACCTCAGTGAAACGGAAACCTGTCTAATGCGGAACCGGAAAGAGAAACTACTTAGACAGGGTTTTTACCTGTCTAAGACTGAAAATGCTTTGGCTACTCAGTCCTGATTTGAAACAAAACTATCAAGCTTGGTTCCATCGGCTCTAACCATTCGCCATGCCGCCAGGCGAGGAAGGGTCCGTTGCAGGGGTGCAATACTCTGATCGTACGACCACTCGAAAAATGAGTTCCTCGAACCGTTGTTACATGCACGGGAGGGCTGGCAGTGGCTGACTTATACCAATAGGTGGGGCTATGGGTAGACGCAAAGGAGATGTTCAAACGTTTCTGTTTTTAATAAGTCAAACAGTGGTCCCCCATGAAATGCAAACACTGGTGGCAATGGATAGGTAGTACTGATGCATGCCATTATTAGAGAGGATAGCACTTGAGAGGTGTTGAGTTTTGACCACTGCTTGCTGACCGAATAAGCAACCTATGATTCCCCCGGCTGGGCCTCTGAAAACCCCTTCCATTCTCCCCATAAATTTCCCTGTCTACGACGGAATTTGGTTTTGACTCCCTAATTGCGATTCTGTCTTACATAGGTTCGACTGTACATTCATATATTCAATTTTTTGTATATCGGGGCGCAAAACATACTTTTATTATTCAATTAAAACTGTTGCATTTTGATTACTCAATAAGTATCCAGTTGAAATAAAGCGTAAACTTGAGTGGCGTTTTCCTCATTGCCACCTGGAAAGCGTAGGTGTATCTCTTTCGTATTTTTGCTCGCTCTGGAAATAAATGATTTGTTTCGGATTTTCAAACTAAGTTTCTTGTTGTATTTGCTGCAGTTCTTGTTGTTGTTGAACCCCCCCCCCCCCCTTTTAATTTTTTTTTTAGCTTAATCACCTTCTCAACACGCTTGTTACCTAGTTTTACTCAGCAAAAGCAATGGCTATGTGCCGATGCCGATTGATGGGCAAAAGTTTTTAGAAAAGCAGTAAAGCAATACTAAATTTATATCGTTGCGTGTAGTACCCCAGCATGTCCGATCTCTACACACAAACTAGCCTCAAGCAGGATCTTTGGTCTGTTTTATGATCAATGTTAAACCCAGAGAGTTTTGATTACTCTGCTTAGTTGGTCGCTGGGTCCTGGCTGGTGACAATGGTAAAAATATGCGCAATAAATGTATTCTTTGGGGAGCGGGTGGGGGTTCCGAAAAATTTTCCTCACTTCGGCACTTCGGTCGTTTTCCGGCCTTGTGTCTTTATCGGGGAAAAGGGGGAAGAGGGGGGGGGGGGTGAGCGACCTGCATTGTATTTACTCCAACAAGAGTGAAACCAAGAGGTTATGTTCAGCTTTGCCTGGCTTTCCCCTGTTTTTTGAAAAAAGGGGGGGGGGGGGGGGGTAGGAGTCTTCAAAACGACCTACTTGAGGTCTCATTCGGCAAAAACAAAACCATGGGACTGTTAGACCCCAACATACCCGCCACTGTACTGTCTACCTACCTAGGTCCTCTCTTCACTTGTCTTGACCAGATAGAATAGACTAGATCAAACTCTTACAAGGTCACCTTTGAAGAGACAGCGCTCGCCGTTTAGGAACCTCACGTTAAAGATAGTTCCAGTAGGGAACGGGATAGAGTGTGTCAACGTCTCTCATGACTTACTGGAGCAGAGGAAGATAGATAGGACGAACGCTAAATCCCCCCCCCCCTCTCTCTCTCTCTCTCTCTCTCTCTCTCTCTCTCTCTCTCTCTCTCTCTCTCTCTATTGTTGAATGAATAATAGAAATGGGCAAGGGACAGACAAACAAACTAACCAACCAACCACCAACAAAAAAACAAACAAACACGAAACAGTGTTTCTCTATTCCTGGCGTCCTGTCAAAGAAAAAATGGTCCAGTTTTCAAAGCCATCAACACGTTGAAAGAGCGTGAAGCACACACTGCGGGGACTGTCATGCCCAAATGGGTCATCTGGCTGAAAACGATTTCAAGCTTTATTAGCAGGTGTGAAGGGCAGCTTGAACTCTTTCCCGGGGACTCAAGTAAATTATTTGAATCTGGCTCTATGATGAGTTTGGTTTGGTGCCAAACCCCTCTACCCCCCCCCCCCCTCTCTCTCTCTCTCTCTCTCTCTCTCTCTCTCTCTCTCTCTCTTTTGTTGAAGAGGCTAATGACCGATGTCGGGACGTCGAGGTAAGAAGTTGCAAAGCAATATATTAATTGTTTACCGGCACACTTAACTATGATAATGAAGAGCGTTTGTTATACTTTGCAAGAAGTGTCTGGCCTTGTTTGTAATGATGATAACAGTACTGGTTGGGGCAGGAAAGTGGGGGGGGGGGCTGGTTGTAATGCTACAGATGTCATCGAGGGTTTCCATTGTTCAGCAAAAATGTACGGAAGCATGGTCAGCGCATCCGCTAAATTGGTGGCCGAGAGTTTTATTGTTTGTACGAGTACGATTGAAATCAATCAAACAAGGACAAAAATCACCGTGGACGCTCCACACAAGGAATAATAATTCAGAGCAGGATTCTCTATTAACGGAGGAAAACTCTCTGGGTGAAAGTTGGCTTCTTTTATAGGGACTTTATAAATGTACAGCAAATTAAAGAAGCGCAAAGACCGCCGTTAGGCAAGTTGTTTTGGTTTCTGGGGCGAATGCGGACAAACAAAATCACGTATTCGTCACCTATGCTTACTAGAAGGAAAAATGAAGCTTATAATAATGAATGTACATCGTAAACAAAAGCGCTGCTTTGCTTTGTAGCACTCGTGTTTGGAGTTGAAGAGCCAGAGAAACATCTATCCCACTCAGGGCTTCATGACCAAATAAGAAATATTTCTTACCGAGCAGATTCAGGAGATTGGGTCCAAATACTCCCACCTTCCAAATGAGCGACATTGTTTCTTATGTATGTGTTTTAACGCCTTTATCGACACAATTTAGATCATTTAGGAGGCCAGCCTCCGACCCTTCCTACCAGGCCCAAACCGGGCTGAGAGGGATACAACTTCCCAGAGGACAGATAGAAAAAACTCGATATACGTTTTTCCCACTCAGAAATGGACCGCCGTCCCACGTGTAAAGGAGCGAAGCGCCTAACCGTTACACCACACACGCCAAAATGTAAGACTGTGAATTTTCTCCCAGCTCCTACAGCCAAGACTAACAATTACACAAAGCAATGCACACGGTTTTGTCGAAAGTCGAAATCGAAATCAGTGTAACATTTTCGTCCCTCATTTTAAGACAGCACACAATTCAATCATTAACCTGGGTCTTGAAGAGAGAGGTATTAAGACAATATGACATAATTTGAAATTCCCGGTTACATGCCTTATGGAAACAAGGAAACGCACGGAAGTTCGTCCCTGAAACCATCATCTTAATTTTGCGCAATTACTGTCTCCTTTGTCTCTTGAAAGAAAAAAAGACTTAACAAAACAAATCCCGGAAAGAGTAGCCTAAGTTTTGGAAATTCAAACTGATTTAATAGCTGTTGTTTATAACTGTCCAAGTCACTGCACCCCTTTCCTGCTCTTTCTATTCCCCTTTCGAAGATTCATTTTTACGGATCCTTTCCGTTTTTGAAGCCACTGTGCATACAGTCTTCTAAATATGTCTAGAATTCGGGAGGCCAAAGACAACGTCATCAATGGTATGAGTGCAGCTTTACGGGCCTGAGTAGGCTTAGACACAAAGATTTGACGAAGCGTTGGTTCACAGAGCATGTTCATTTTCCAATGTTCTCACTACATTGGCCGACAATCAACCTTACTTAATTGACCCAGTCGACCATTGTAGACTCCAAAGAGATGAAGTAGAGAAAAGAAAAGTGTTCCTATTACATTTGTATAATTTATTCATTAAGACCACTGTACGAGTTACACCTGTTTCGAAGTATGTTGCTGTAGTGAATGTCGTGTATCTGGCCGTTATGCATGACAAACTAAAGACTCTGACGCACATTAAAATTTCGCTTTTCTGATTTCCCAATATACACAGTAATAGATCTATAGTCGATTTGCGTGCCAGAGAGGGTGATACGTTTAGTATATTATGTTGTTCCAGTGAAAATAAAGTATACCCTTGTCGTCACGCTTTCGTGCTGTACGACGACCACATTCCTGTGTTTCTTGTTCTTGATGATAAGATCCGTGACCCCGTTTCCTCACTGTGTTCTCAGGTCAACCACACGTTTGAAAATGGATGAAAGGGATGGAAGGGGGGGGGGGGGTTACTGAAATCATTCCTATAACAAGTGAAGTACGGTACTATAGACTGAGAATGCAAGAAGAGGTAGTTTTTACAGAATTTAAAAAGAACTCTATACTTTTCACTTCTCTCTCAAAATGAGTTGCTGAACGTCCATTTATCACACCGAACGTTATGATTACGAAATAACAGACAATAACTAAACGCACTATTACGCCAAGGAGAGCAAATTTCAGAAACGAATTATATTGAAACAGATTAAATAAATGATGGACTGATTGCTTGGCTGACTTTAGACAAAATGTTATTCTACTACAGTTTCATTAGTTGTGCAGTATAAAGTTGCCTTTCCTGAAACAGTGCTGTAAAAAATATTAAGCTTAATCTACCCTTCGCTGTTGGAAGTTCTAATGGCCGAGTGGACAGCGTGTCTGCGTTTGAAGTCATACGATTGTTTTATGAGTTGTTTTTTTTTTCTTTTTTTCTAATTTGTTGCTTTGTAGTTTTTCTTATGTAGTAATGAAGCATGCACATTCTGGTTTTGTCCCCAAGAGGAGCTTTTACCTACAAAGAATACTCTTCCTTTTATCAATTTAGGCCTGGTTTAAGTTCAATAGTGGATTTCCTTGGTCTGTGAGTCGAATTATTATTATTATTTTTTAATTTTAGGCTCAGATAGGCCCAATTTTAAATCTTTAATTGCAAATTAAAATTTTCTTCAGTTTCCGGAGGCCTCCTGCGGCCCCAAACCCCTGCCTATTGTTCCCCCTGCCAATTGTTATGGGGTCCGGGGGCAAATTGTTGGTCAGTCGGGAGGAGGAGAAGAGAAAGAAAAAAACAACCTTCCGAGACTGGGATTCGATGCCACGCTGGAAAGCAGTGAACATTAGAGAACGTAGAAAACTTGTATAGGCTACCTTCTCTAACGTTAGAGAACGTAGACACTACCCCAATGAGGGGGTAGTAAGTATATTAATATTATGATGCCATAACTTGCTAACACAAAGCCACCAAGTTACCTCTCAAAGCTTCCAGATTTTAGGGGGGATAGGGACAAATCCGAAGATAATCAACGGACGGTTGTTCTTCCTTGTGCCTTGTTGTGAAGGGCACCGATTCAGATCTAGATCTAGATCTCTGCGTCTGATTGGGCAATTTCAAAAGGTAGGCTAGGCCAATGCTATGCTGAGATTGGCACTTTCAACACTTTATGTTTTTAGTAATTGTTTTCAGCCAGATCCATTTGGGCATGTCAGTCCCCGTCCAACCCAGCCCTTTTCCTTCTCCATGGATATTCAGAATCTCCAAAAATGTGTTATTTATTTACGAAATCGAAAGTCTGATCAGTTACCCTGCTTGTATGACAAAAAAAAACCTAAGTAAAATTGTGACGAGTTTTTGAATAAATTAAAATTAAAATTTCAGAATGACTATTTTTCATTGGTCACGCTGACAAAAAAACAACAACTCTTTTTCTCAAAACTGCAATGAGGAAAAAAAAGCGTTTTTCAGATGTGGGTGTAGAGATACATTATAATACAAATGTATTGCAACCCGAAAAACAAAACAAAACGAACGTAAGGGGTGGTGTATGTTTCATGCTCTTACAGGGTGTTGATTGCTTTGAAATGGGTTCATTTTTCCTCAACAGGACGCCGGGCAAAGAGAAACAAAGTCTATTATGTTGTTGTTGTTTTTTTCAGCCGAATCAGACACTATGTATGTTGTTTTGAAGTTGGACTCCAGCCCTAACTTTCCCTCACCCCCGTTAAAAAACAAGAACAACTGAATACCAGGCTAAGGCCGAATACAATCTCTTTTTGGGCAGGCCGCTCGATCACTACCCTCCCCCCCCCCCCCCTTTTTTTGGTTCAAATAAGGACACAAGGCCGAAAAAACAACGGAAGTGAGGGGAATTTTTCGTTTTTTTCGGAACCCCCCCCCCCCCCCCCCCAACTCGTTCCCCTAAGAATACATTTATTGCGCTGTTGGCCATTGTCACCCAGCCCCGGATTTAACATTGATCATAGAACAGCCCAAAAGATCCTCCTTGTGGCCAGTTTGAGTGTAGAGATCGGAGATGCTGGGGTATTACACGCAACTATTAAGTATTGCTTTACTGCTTTTCTCAGAAAAGCTTATTATCCATCAATCGGTATCGGCGAGAAGGCCTAGGTATCGGCCCATAGCCATTGCCTTCGTTGATTAATACTAATAATAGGCTACATGTAGAAGGGAATATTATGCGTGTTGAGAAGGTGGCTGAGCTGAACAAAACCACAATTTTAAGAATCAAATGAAAAATAACGCTTTTTGTATCAGTTAAACTTTCTAAAAAAGAACAAGAACGACAACAACAGCAAACAGCACAAGAAACAACCTGAAAGTTCCAAATCATTTATTTCCAGAGTGAGCAAAAAATACAAAAGATCTAACACTAAGCCTTCCAGGTAGCAATAAGAAAAAGGTCATGCAAGTGTACGCTTTATTTCAATCGGTTACTCAATGAACAATCAAAATATAGATCTGTAAGTGTTTTTATTAATATCAAACTGTTTTGCACCCCTTCCGACAACAACTAAAACATGTAATAGCAGACTCTTTGTTTTGACCCCTGTTTGGACCAGCCCTGCCTGAGTGTAATAACGCACCAAAACAGAAAGACGGAAATAGATTACTCCCATATATGGGAATAATACAACATATTATTATATTTTCCGAGTGCTGACATGTCACGGTCTGTTGGGGTTGTTGTTTCTTTTTTCATTTCATATAGTATGAAAATGGATTCAAATAATCATATAAAAGCAGTACGTGCAGTGGCAGGTCGAGCCAGACTATAAATTTCAGTGTGCAGCGATACAATTTGAGCAATTGATTGAGCACGATGTCATGACCACATAACAACAATATTATGTTTGTGTGTGTATGGGGAGGGGGGGGGTCTTATGTTTGTTTATTTATAATATAGATAGATAGATAGATAAATAGATAGTGTGCATGTGTGTACATGTTTATACCTCTGTATTTATTATACGCTTCTGTGTAAACGTCTGCTTTAACCCCAGCTATAAGTTTCATTCCAATCGTATTTCATTAAGTGAGGTGTTTTAAATGAAGTTGAGTGTGTGTGTGTGTGTGTGTGTGTGTGTGTGTGTGTGTGTGTGTGTGTGTGTGTGTGCGCGCGTGTGTGTGTGTGTGTGTGTGTGTGTGTGTGTGTGTGTGACACGGGATTGGCCGACTACAGTAAGTTGGATAGGCTAACCTATAGCTCACCTTTCAATTTGTTCTGTTGAATGTTAGCTCTAAAGGCAATGACTGTGTTAAGGTTCCCAGAGGCAAAGCGTCTACATAATCAAATATTCAATGCTTCCCTTCCTTATTTTGGGATGGAGCATCGTCGCAGTCAAATTCACATACAGACCGTGATTGACGGTGACTTTATGAATTAAATTTAAATAGATTATCTTGAAATCACCAATGAGCAGTGTGCACAATATTTAGCACTGTTTCATTGCTACATAAATACCCGGTTCGCCACTAACAAGCACTGATTATGTAAGCTTATAATTGAATTGGTAGAGTCTACTTCAAAATGGTACGGTGAACTCATTTCTAATAATCCTTCGACTACTCTGTGAGTGCTTATTTTTTTTTGGGGGGGGGGGAGGGGGGGGGTAGTTCTTGACTTTTTACCGCCCTATAATCAGGTCATGGTATGATCATGCCAGCGGCTCCTGGCCACCAAAGGCCATAAAAGACAAACAAATTAAAAACCAAATTTATAAGACATTTGTAGTATATTGCCATATCTATTTTCCCCTTCTATTTGCGTTTTACACTTTCGGTGCAATTTACGTCTAACAAATCTTGAGACCATTAATGCTACCTCGCGTCTAAAGGTTATAAGTAGGTATTGACAAAAGCGAGAATAAATATTAATCAATGATATATTTTCTCGATTATTTCGTTGATGAACATACAACAAGGAATTCAGGGTTTGTTTTCATTCACAACTCAGTGCTGCCGCATCATATAAGAAGTTTTGTAATTATGTTCCCCTTGTGGGCAAGCTTTTCGTGTGTGACCCGTAAACTCTTGGTGTGACCTCATCTCTTTCTGGTTCTTCGTCTCACTTTTAATCCCCTGTCCAACAAGTCAGTCTTCGCCACTGAAGGCTTCAAAAAGTAGAAGACACTGAGCACGTATTAACGAGAAAACGCTGCATACTTTATAAAAATTTCACCGGAAATGAAAGCCTCCTACGAGATGTAAAAACTTTTTTACTGGACATGTTGTTTTAAGAGAGACGTCAAATTATTTAGGAAAACAGGGGTATGAAAGATTTGAAACGAAGAAAATTAACATAAGCCATTATACACGAATACACAGAAAGCTACACTCTGGCGTTGTCTTTAAACTTATTCATTTTCTTAACACCTTATGTACGTTGAAAAAATAAAATAAAAACTTAACTACAACACACATCTAGACACACATTTGCTGCTCCCTCCTCAGAACCTTTTAACGATATCGGAATGCTTTGTTTGGGAACTTGTTATGGCGCAACTGTTACTAGTCTCAACAAACTTATTGTCTCCTTACCCAACATTGGTTTGTTTTACACATAAGATCAAGAGGGCAGACCTACACAAACAGTGTAATCACGCTCAGCTGGAGCATAGTGTTTGAAAATTTCACCGAAAACGTATTAGACCTTATGGGTTCAGCTTATGGTGTTGTGACCCCCCCCCCCCCCCCATTTTTTCTGTTTTTCTTTCTCTTCCTAGAGAATGCTTTTCTTCAGCTTGCCGTTCTAAGGGGGGACCAGGAAGTGGTTTGCTCTGAAATGATCCCATTGTGCCTGACTAGGCCAGCGTCAAACATCTAATCTGTTCTTGGACTCCCAGAAGTGCTGGTCTTGACACAATCCGTTATGTTCTCCCCAAATTTAATTTACCACGATAGTTGTTAATTTAAACTTAATATTTTCAAAGCAAAAAAAGAATGCTCAGAGTGAGATTTGTGTTTCTCGTAGGTGTTCAACAGACAGTAAACGCATCGCTCCTTATTCCTCCTTTCTGAGTACCACATCAAGCTCTATTGGCTTCTCTGGCTGAGACATTGTGTTGATAACGTTTACCATCTTAACGTCTTCACCAAGTTTTGGGTAGGTAAGGTCAGTCTTGACGAACCTGAAGTTAGACAAGAGTTGACTCAAGGCCACCTGTGGTGAAACAAAACGATGTATATCAATATAAAATCGTGGTTGGAAATGGCATACATTTAAAACAGTAAGGTTTACTTATTGTGTTGGGAGGTTTGTTATCAATTTTTTTTTGGATGACCCAAACGCCGAGTAAGAAAAAAATAAATATTAACAACAACAACAACAACAACAATAAAAATAAAAAAATAATAATAAAACAAATAATAATAATAATAATAATAATAATAATAATAATAATACATGTAAAAATAATAATAACAACAATAACAACAACAATAATCGTCGTCGTCGTCGTCGTCGTAGTAGTAGTAGTAGTAGTAGTAGTAGTAGCAGCAGCAGCAGCAGCAGCAGCAGCAGCACGGCAGCAGCAGCATTAGTAGTGTATCTTTATAAATATATTATATTTTACATTTATATAATATCTCTTAAACATTTTTAGCTTCACATATTTTAAGAGCGTGCAGCTCAAAAACTGCACATCCGATTACTTTGACATTTTTACACATGTCCCGCAAGCTCATTGTCGTTCGTGAACTGTTATTGTACTCACTCGGGTACACTGGTCTATCATTTTTGTCTGACAATGTCATTGACGGGGTTTTGATATTTTGTCATACTGTGATGATGTGTGGGTAACTTTGAAAACAAAAACTACACATGCAAAGTTGGACTCCTTCAAAATTTTTCATCACATAAAAAGTGGCTTCTCTTTATTGAATCATCATGCTTCGGCTGATTGAATTAGAAAGAAATCACATCAATGAATTGCTTCAGGTGGGAACTCCGCTTTCGTTAGTCGCGAGAAGGTTCAACGTGAAAAGACACACTTTGTATGCCACACAGAATCACATGGCAATGATAGGCCCCCAAAAGGACAGACTCAAGCGAGTAGAACGCAGAAGGACAAAGCGAAGGGTGGACGCATTCATTCCAATGCAACACTTGAGGAATCAATTTCAACTGGCAAACAAAGACCTAAGATGAATCGAAAAAACTAAGAAATGAGAGTCCGATCTTTGTTATGACTGTTCTTCTTCGTTGGAAAGATAGGAACCATCGTTGTGGGGGCCCAGTTTGTCGCATAAAACTGCAGCCCCATCATATCCAGCACAGACTTCACTGGGCACAGCGTCGCATGTGATTGCAAAGGCTAAATCATCCAAGTTTTGAGCCCAATGTACTTTTCTTTCAAAATCAAGCCCAAGAAAAAGTATTCATGCATGATAATGCACCTTCTCATAAGGCTGCTCTATACATTTCTCAAAACTAACAACATTCCTCCCCTGCACCCATGACCAGCGCATTCACCAACTTTCAATCCAATTGAGCACTTGCAGGACATTTTCGATCGCACCATTCGTACCAGACCACGCCAGCCCCGCACCCTTGCTCAGTTGGAACAAAACTTAATTCAAGAGAAGAATATTATCCCTCAAAAGACAATACTTCGATTCATCCCGTCCATGTGTCGACGATGTGAAGATATGACAACGCCAGATGTCATCACACGTTACTGAAAGCTGTCACTTTTTGTTTAGACCCTTGACAACTCTAAGTTCAAAATAGAAGATTAAAAACATTCTTAACTTTGTATTCCACGTGTTTTCCTTGCTATAAAATGAATGCACTGTCTTTTCAGAAATTTTCTGACAGATTTGATAAGTATTAATCAAGATATTGCCTTTGATATATATA